TGTGTGTGTGTGTGTGTGTGTGTGTGTGTGTGTGTGTGTGTGTGTGTGTGTGTGTGTGTGTGTGTGTGTGTGTGTGTGTGTGTGTGTGTGTGTGTGTGTGTGTGTGTGTGTGTGTGTGTGTGTGTGTGGTGTGTGTGTGTGTGTGTGTGTGTGTGTGTGTGTGTGTGTGTGTGTGTGTGTGTGTGTGTGTGTGTGTGTGTGTGTGTGTGTGTGTGTGTGTGTGTGTGTGTGTGTGTGTGTGTGTGTGTGTGTGTGTGTGTGTGTGTGTGGTGTGTGTGTGTGTGTGTGTGTGTGTGTGTGTGTGTGTGTGTGTGTGTGTGTGTGTGTGTGTGTGTGTGTGTGTGTGTGTGTGTGTGTGTGTGTGTGTGTGTGTGTGTGTGTGTGTGTGTGTGTGTGTGTGTGTGTGTGTGTGTGTGTGTGTGTGTGTGTGTGTGTGTGTGTGTGTGTGTGTGTGTGTGTGTGTGTGTGTGTGTGTGTGTGTGTGTGTGTGTGTGTGTGTGTGTGTGTGTGTGTGTGTGTGTGTGTGTGTGTGTGTGTGGTGTGTGTGTGTGTGTGTGTGTGTGTGTGTGTGTGTGTGTGTGTGTGTGTGTGTGTGTGTGTGTGTGTGTGTGTGGTGTGTGTGTGTGTGTGTGTGTGTGTGTGTGTGTGTGTGTGTGTGTGTGTGTGTGTGTGTGTGTGTGTGTGTGTGTGTGTGTGTGTGTGTGTGTGTGTGTGTGTGTGTGTGTGTGTGTGTGTGTGTGTGTGTGTGTGTGTGTGTGTGTGTGTGTGTGTGTGTGTGTGTGTGTGTGTTGTGTGTGTGTGTGTGTGTGTGTGTGTGTGTGTGTGTGTGTGTGTGTGTGTGTGTGTGTGTGTGTGTGTGTGTGGTGTGTGTGTGTGTGTGTGTGTGTGTGTGTGTGTGTGTGTGTGTGTGTGTGGTGTGTGTGTGTGTGTGTGTGTGTGTGTGTGTGTGTGTGTGTGTGTGTGTGTGTGTGTGTGTGTGTGTGTGTGTGTGTGTGTGTGTGTGTGTGTGTGTGTGTGTGTGTGTGTGTGTGTGTGTGTGTGTGTGTGTGTGGTGTGTGTGTGTGTGTGTGTGTGTGTGTGTGTGTGTGTGTGTGTGTGTGTGTGTGTGTGTGTGTGTGTGTGTGTGTGTGTGTGTGTGTGTGTGTGGTGTGTGTGTGTGTGTGTGTGTGTGTGTGTGTGTGTGTGTGTGTGTGTGTGTGTGTGTGTGTGTGTGTGTGTGTGTGTGTGTGTGTGTGTGTGGTGTGTGTGTGTGTGTGTGTGTGTGTGTGTGTGTGTGGGTGTGTGTGTGTGTGTGTGTGTGTGTGTGTGTGTGTTGTGTGTGTGTGTGTGTGTGTGTGGTGTGTGTGTGTGTGTGTGTGTGTGTGTGTGTGTGTGTGTGTGTGGTGTGTGTGTGTGTGTGTGTGTGTGTGTGTGTGTGTGTGTGTGTGTGTGTGTGTGTGTGTGTGTGTGTGTGTGTGTGTGTGTGTGTGTGTGTGTGTGTGTGTGTGTGTGTGTGTGTGTGTGTGTGTGTGTGTGTGTGTGTGTGTGTGTGTGTGTGTGTGTGTGTGTGTGTGTGTGTGTGTGTGTCTGTATATATTTCTATACGTGTGTATATAAAATTTCTACTTGTAATTACATTTTAATATGTAAAATGTGTTTGTTGTTAAATAAGTACATTATGCTCTTATTTTGATTTAATTTTATGAATAAAGGAAAACGTTGTGAGCATATTAAGTTTATCTTCTACGTGTCAGTCAATTATTGACTGTAACAAAATAGGTTGTAGCATAATTTAAACTTTTTAAATATTTAACCGTACTATTTATACTAACTGAAAAAATCAAGAAACAATAAACTTCACTGTTTATTAAAGTTTTATTAAAGGTTTTTAATTATTTCGACACTTATTTTAATCGGTTAATAGCCAATGGCAATTTGTTATAACTTGTAACAGCCTATTTTAATACATCTGAAATTTAGAAAGAAGAAAGAATCGAAATTGTAGGTTTATACTACAAAAATAATAATTGTACAAGAGTTGCTACTAGAATTTTTAACGAAACACATCACAATAGACATACAACTCATAAGTATATGATTAAAATGATGTAGAAATTTAGAGCAACAGGGTCAGTTTGCAATAAAAAATATAACCGACATTGACTTGTAAACAATGAAGCAATCTAAGTAGCTGTTTTAGGTTTTAACTTAGAGACTGAGCAATCACAGTCATTATCAACAATAACCAGAGCAATCGGTGTTTTTTCTTCTACAGCCTTCTGAGTCCTCCAAAAATTTAGAATAGAATAGAATAGAAATATGCTTTATTGTCAAAATGAAGTGAAAATTATTGAACAATTTTAAGGACAAAGATAAAAGTTAAGTTTAAGTTTCATTCATGTAAAATTAAATTGGTGCAAGAGCTAAATGAAGAAGATGTTAATCGCGGTCTTGAATTTTGCGAATTAATGACACAATGTATCATTAACAATGCACAATTGTTCAACAATATTTGCTTCTCGGATGAATGCTCATTCTCAATAAATGGTTTGGTAAACAGACATAGGCAAACATTTGCCGATACTAGGCTGGGATTGATCCACATGTTGTACGTAAATTTCACACACAGCATCCTCAAAGGTTAAACGTATGCTATGGTATCCTTGGTGATCACATTATCGGACCCTTTTTTATCACTGGAAACTTAAATGGTGATTCGTATCTTAAATTACTTAGGCAAGTACTTGATCGCATTAGAACAGTAGTAGAAAATGATGATAACCTGTACAAAGATTTGGATGTATTTTAACATGTTGGAGCTCCTCCACATTTGCTTCACCTGCAAGGATCTCTGATAAATGTAGGAACTTAATAAATGTAGACCGTGGAATTTCAATTCTGGATCTAATCTCTTGAGCGTAGTCCTATTGTGAGTTAAAGGTAGTTCCGAGGTAAGTAAATCTGTTGACCCTCTGGATCTCTTCGCTACCTGCCATTCGTGCCCAGGGATCTAAATTTGTGCGGCTGACAACCATGAATTTAGTTTTTCTAATATTAAGGTCTAGTCAGGCCATATGTTACGCTCATAGTTCGCACTCGGTCTAGTAAGGCTTGTAGATCATTTAGGCTGGTTGCTAGTAACACAGTATTATCGGCGTAGCGGATAATATTCATGTATTCACCGTTGACTTGGATTCCCATCTCTAGGTTTTGAGAGCTTTAGTATAAATATCCTCAGGGTATATATGGAAAAGAGTCGGCGAGAGCATACAGCCTTACCTTACTCCTCGCATAATCTTCACTTGGTCGGTCAGCTGGTCTTTGACCTTGAATTGAGCACGCTGGTGTCAGTATAAATTCGTTATGATCCGAATATCCTTTTTATCCAATCTTACTCTTTGTAGGGCGGTGAACACCTTCTGGTGCTGACACGGTCAAATGCCTTGACGTAGTCAATAAAACACATATAGATATCACAACTGACATCGCGGCATCTCTAAAGTAGGACTTTTAAGGTGAAAAGTGCTTCACGTGCGCCCATGAAATTGGGAAATCCAAATTGCATTTTGCCGATATTTTCTTTGCATTTCTTGTAAATTCGGGGACGTATGATTTTAAGAAAAAACTTAAGTCCGTGACTCATAAGTTTAATAAATAGAAAATCTTTATAGGTTTTCGCAGATCGTTTTTTGGTAGTGTTACCAATATTGACAATAGTCATTCCTCTGGCATATTACCTAAATCGTATATGCGGTTAAACAGTTTAGTTAACTCCTTTGTGCTCACTTCACTGATCACCTTAATAAGTTCAACGGGTATTTCGTCCGGACCTGTGGCCTTACCATTCTTAGATTGTTTTAACGCTGCTTTCACGTCGCTTTCTAGTATTGACGGCCCTGTCATGCAATTTATTTCTGGAAGGTTACCTTAGTAGTCCCAGAAAGGTTCTTTGATGTACATTTTCCAGGTCACCAACTTTTCTTTAACTGTTGTCGCCAGGTGCCGTCTTTGTTTCTGAGGAGGTGTGTGTTTCTCCTATTGTATTGACCAGTGGTTTCTCGAATATTTCGGTGGACATTCATATGATCATGTTTCACTTGGAGCTCTTCGATTACATTACGTTTTTCTTGCATACATGTCTCCTTGGCTCTTCTTATTTCTTTTTTAATTTTATGGTTGATTTCTTGGTATTTCTTTGCGTACCTGTTTTTCATTAATCTTCTTTGGTCCATCATCTGCAGAATGTCATGTCATTCCATTCTTTATTTTTTACTCTTGTTTTCATTCTCAGATATTCTTTTCCCTCATTTTGAATGACGTCTCTGATATAACACCATTTTTGATCTACACTCTGTTCTTGTTGTTTAGCGGTTTCTAGTTTTCCTCTCATTATATATCTTACGTTCTGATGAACTACTGGATCTTTTAGAGTGTCATAATCCAGGTTCCGTTTAGGTTTACTTTTTATGAGTTTCTTTAGTTTGAGTTCTATCTGGCCCACTAATGAGTTGTGGTCTGATGAGACGTCGGCTCCTAGGAAGGTCTTCACCGAAGTCAAGCTGGTTGCTGTATTTGCAGGTGACTTCCAGGTATAAAGTCGTCTCGGGGAAGTCTAAACCAGGTATTCGCAATGGTAAAATCTTTTTCCCGACATAATTGGATAAGTCGGTCTTCCCTTTTGTTTTTCTCGTATAGGTCGTGTTGTCCGACGATGTCTTCTATTCTGTTCTTGCCAACTTTGGTATTGAAATCACCCATGATGATGATAAGTTCTTTATTTTTGGTATATTTTAGTGCTTTTTGTATAAGTGCGTAGAACTCCTCGATATCCTCTTCTGTCTTTTCTGAGGTTGGAGCGTAAATTTAAATGATGTTCGTATTAACGGGTCTGCTTTGCAGCTTCATCAGAATGACTCTATCAGAGAGAGGAATTTTATATACGGAACTAATCGTACAAAAAAAAATTATTCGCAACTATAATGGTGATTTACATTACGACGTATTCTCTAATGAAACACAAGTTAACAAAATAATAATTTTATTTTAAATAATTTTTGGATAATAAAAAAGTAACAAATAACTTCCAAATAAACAATGAGTATTTTTTAATATCTAATTGAGCCTTTATAACACAGACATTTTCTAAACATTTTTAAATCTCTTTTAGAAACATGTTATGACGATAATAGAACTAACAGAAAACTTTATATACTATTCAAACTATGTTGGCAGTTTTTAGAGACGTGCTAAGTATTACAGGATGATAAATAGTTATAGGAAATGAGAAAATCTAGATAGTTAGTTTAAAAAAATAAACAGAAGGCTGCAATATATAAATTTAACATAATTTAAAAAAGAATTGTTAAACAAATAAATACAAGAACAATTTATTATTTTATCAGCTAAAATTTAATTCAACCTTATCGCGATCCCATTCATCGAAACATTCTCAACATCTTATCTTTTTTCGAAAAAATAAATAATTATTTTTAAGTAGTTCCCCAAAAGGTTTTCAGTCTTTTTCAATAATATGTTCAAATATTGAACAAACTTTGGCCTGAGAAATTAAAATATTTAACTGGCTTCATAGTAACCTTGATTGGTCCTAAAAAGTCTGGTAGGAAGGATCTTTGGCGAGCTCTTTCTTCTTAAGACGAGGATGAGCGAAATCATGGTGGTGATGGCTGTAAGTAGGGAGCCATATTGTAGAGCTAGTTTAATGGATGGCACGGTAAATGATACTAAAAATATTGTATCTAATACATCTTGTGGAATTCTTTTGTCATCTAGTACCTGTAAAAAAAGTAGTCAATGTAGTTTTTATGTAAATATTTAAGATGCTGGTTTAAGAAATATGACTTTTATTACATTTTGTGATACGTGTACCTATAGGATACATTTAAAAATATAGTGCCTTGGCTTATGCATAATTTTTGGGTATGGGGTATACCAAGCAATAAACATAGCAGGGGTTTAAGAAGAAAAAGTTCTAGGCCTAAACTTTTAAAAGGGCCGTACTAAGCCCAATGACGGTTCGAATTTTATACGAGATATTTTGACTTTGATAGAACATAGAAAATTTGATTTATAAAATCCCTACCAGTTTGTGTAAAAAGTAAGGCACACGAACATACAAAATTTATTTACACAATTATAATACAGCTATAAAAAGAACGTTAAACACATCTGCGCAGCTTTTCTGCGCTGCTAAAGATAAGATCAAGGTTGCCATGATAATTGTTCACATTTGTAATGGAATGTCGCATAAATTGGCACAAGAATAATTTATTTTTAAAATAGACTGTAAATACCTCCGCGGTTGTGTCTTGGTGATACTTTGTGTTCAGTATTCAGTGTAATCAGTGTTCGCTATTGCCAAACCAACCTCTTGATGGAGTGTCGTGTGTATCGAATCATGTCTTATCTATATAAATAATTGATTTGTTAACTTCGTTAACCATATTCGTAGACGATGTGATTCCATAATTATTATCTGTCTTCTGTGTATTTTCTTAAACCTTAATACTATGCTCCACAAACACTTCCACAAGCTTGTTTTACAGCAGTTTATTCCAGTGTCATCTTTATTGACTTTAGTAAAAAGGTTGTCTAATGCCGGCACTATTTTAGTTTCAGACGTACTTTACGAAAAATTATGTTTTTATCCGCAATATCAAACTTTCTAGAAATATCACTGCCACTTCTTTTTTGTTTTGGAATTATTGGATTATTAAAAATTTTTCAACCACTGAAATTGGTGTTCCAGTCAGATGCAGTTTTCTATAGTGTCTTCTATAGCTACAGTTTTTCTCATATGTCTATTGGTTAAAGTTAAAAAGACATTACTAACTATTTTTTTCATTAAGTAACAGATTTCTTTGACGCCTTTCTGATTTTTGCCCTTGAATGAAAGCAGCCTCTTCAAAAAAAAAAAAAAAAAAAATTTAATTGCGTGTTCAATAGCAGCTTCTTCTATGTTATTGTTGTAACAATTTCACGCACGTCTTAATATAACAATATTTTAAGAAAAATCAACTTTGTTGTTTTGTTGTTTTTCATGTACGAAGTATACTGTATTTAACGATATACAACACGTCAACTTACAAACTATTATTTAAAACTAATTAAACACAAGAATGTGTATGTGTAATAAATAATTATCAATTTTTATATAATATTACTTACCGCTTCTAAATAAGCGATGGGTAGCAGCATGCCATCTTCAAACATATCCACCTGAGAGATCCCTCCAGCTTTTTGAACCTGGACGTTAACCTGCAGCATGTTTCTTGCAGAAATAGCGAATCCAAGGGTGGGGTGGAGGTTGAAATAAGATTTAAACTCTCTTTCGGGGTGTAGACCGGTAAAATGTTTTGTTAGACTGGGATCGGCTCTGTGGAAGTGAGGATGGGAAATGAACACTGGTGAACCTGAGGTAATAAAAGATATATTAATAATTAGAGTATTTTAATAAACTTACATTTTATAAACTAGCCAGGAAGTAAGAATCGTAAAAATTTAGTAGTAAGTTAAAAGTTTTTCTATCGCAGACAATTCAATAATATTTAATCTCGGGACTCATTTTACTATCTCGAACTAATTAATTTAACAGATTCCACAGTTCTTGTTTACTTATAAAAATTATTTCATTTATTAACATATTGTTAACAATTATTTCGTAGATTTAAATTGTAGACACATGATTTCAACACCTTGAGCTTGTGCAGAATTATTTTCAGAATACAGGTTGCATAACAGTTTAAATATTTCTAGTCTTAATATTTTTTACTTATGCCCTAAGATAGTTTGGTTCCAATAGTAGTATAAAAAATATTGAATTTTCGTGCTTTGGTAGTTTACGACCTGACGGCTTTATAGTCTTACAAATGCAGTGATAGTCACAAAAATAATTCAATAAAAATACTACAGAAAAACTAAAAGACAACAATTAGACCTAAAGATTATTTAACGAAGATAGAAACGATGTTACTCTAAAAGAGCCCTTAACGAAAGTCCGTCGGAATAAAAAGAGAACACATTAATACTGTTGGTCTTCCTATTCAACCTTTATGACAAAGGATAAATTTCAAAATAGTAGATAAAATATATTTTCATCACAATACGGAAATAATCAAAATAAAGAAAATGTAATAAACGTAGACTAATACGTCTTATAAGTCACACGAACATGTTGTTAAAAGTATTTTACGATATACTCTAGAGAAAAATGTAAAAACAAAATTTATACGTCACGCCTTTAAAACTGTATTACATTTTTTCACGACATACTGTATACAAAAATGTGAAGACGAAATAGAAAGCGCTCAATTTAGATTTTGAAACGGTATAGAGACCATACAAAAAGTCTTTCCGTTGTAAATATTATTCAAAACGATAAATGTATGTGCTTATCTGCTACGTAGATTTTAAAAGGCGTTTGTTAAAATAAACCATAAGAAATCGCTAAGATCACTTGTGATTAACAAAAAAATTATAGACAGGAACACTAGGAATATAATTAACAACCAAGACTAAACATACGCCCCTTACATTTATCTCTAGTGGTCTTGATATAATCATGTGTAAATCCACTTTGTTGTAACTCATATCATTTGTTCACCGTGTCTGAGGTGCCCCTACCTCTAAACTTCTCAAATTTAGGTACGACAATCAAGAATAAACAAAAAGTCATGTTGCTTTAAGGTATAAATAGAAAAATATTAGAACAGGTAACTTATTTCGACTAGTTAGACTGTTGTATTAACAGAAAGTTTTATCTTAAAGAACAAAAATAAATGCTTAAATTTTTACAAGGAAAAAAAAACTCGTATAAGATATTAAAAATTTATTAACCTGAGACGTATATAGAGATAAAAAGAATAAATACTACAGTACCCATTTATTCATAAAGTGTAAAATAGATAGAATAGCTGCTAACTTAAGAACAAAGTGATTTTCTTGCCCATGCACTGATACTTCTATTCTATTCTGATTCTGATATTTTCTATTATAGCTTATACAGCTATATAATATATATATTACAGCTTATAGAAAAAACAATGACACTTAACGTTGAATTGGAAATTGTATTCATGGACCTTCGAAAAGTCTGTGATAGTGTCCCAGTGAACAACCTGTGGAAAGCAATGGAAAATCACGGAGTAGATAACGCCTACGTAAATGCCGTAAAATTACTTAATGAAGACAATGAATGTAGATTTAGAGGCTAATAAAAGTAATTAAAACCATTTAAAGTCGATAAAAAACAATGACAACGATGACGCCTATTACCAACCTTATATAGTCTTTACATTGAAGAAATACTAAAAGGCTGGAAAAGAAATATGTCTAAAATGTAAACATAGGTTTACACCTATTTGTATGGACAAATAGGTGTAAAAAATAATAACTACATCCATGGCGTTTTGTTAAAATAAAGAAAGAAAAGACTCAATATTTACAGTCAACAAGAAAAATGAATTTCCTGTAATGGGCTACATACCATAAATCACAAAAATGTTGTCATTTAAAATTCTGAAAAATTAAAAAAAATCCTGTATAAAAAGGTATATTTATATAACACCACGTAAGATCCGCATGAATGCAAATCTCGATGAGTTCACTGCAGAGATAGAACCAAACATTCTAAAGTCAGAGGTAGAAAAAACAATCAAAAAGTTAAAAAATAGAAAATCTCCTGGCGCAGACCAGATCACCGCAGAAGTTTTAAAAGAGACTGGAGGTATTAGAGTAAATGTTATGCATATGATCTGCAAAAAGATGTGGGAAACCGGAAAGTGGCCCGACTGGACAACATCGAATTTCATCCCTATATTCAAAAAAAGAACTTCGCTAAATTGCAGCAACTACAGAACGATAACCCTAATATCCCATGCAGGTAAGATTCTACTTCATGTAATACATGAAAGACTAAAAGCTTTTCTATTCAGATATCTATTCATATATCTTCAGAAGAACAAGCGGGATTTGTTACAAAAAAAGGCACAAGCTAATCGAAAAAACTCGTGAATTCAATACTCCTATGCTTATGTTCTTTGTAGATTACATGTAGATTACACAAAGGCCTTCGATAAAGTCAAATATCAGCAGCTATGGTGTATACTAGCGGAAATGGGAACACCTCACCACTTAATTCAACTAATTAAAATATATATATATATATATATAAATATAATATATATAATATATATAATATATATAATAATCATATTTAACACAGTACGGTCGAGAATAATTTGATAAATAAATATATATCTATATGAAAGTAATAAGTGCAGATTAAAAATAAACAACACCCATTCCGATCACGTTAGAACAGAGGCAGGTGTCAGGCAGGGATGCGTAATGTCGCCAACTCTGTTTAATATCTACAGCGAACACATTATGCGAAAGGTACTAGACGGATGGAAGGGCTAAATATCAGTAGAAGGTCAAAAAATCAATACCTTGAGATATTCTGATGACACTTTATTAATCGCTACAAATCAAGAAGAAATGGAAGACATAATCAGGTGTCTGGAGGAAAAAAAGCAAAACCTATGGACTAAAGCTATATGAGAGTAAAACAAAGATCATGATAGTATACAAAGCTCGGAATAATCGTCAACACATTAAAGACATTGAGGGCTTTGAAGTAGTAAATATTTACATATACCTAGTATACCTAATAACACATGACGGAGGGTGTGACAGAGAGACACATAGAAGGTTGACTATTGCTAAAACAGCTATGATGAAACTGGTTACAATTTGGAAAAATTTTAGCATAACAATTAATACAAAACTAAGGCTTGTAAGGGCACTCATTTTTCCCATAGCCATATATGCATCCGAAACATAGACCTCATCCGAATTCCTAACGCATCCGAACTATAGACAAATGGCTAGAAGAACAGGTACGATGGAAAAACTGATACTCGAGGGTAGAGTTGAAGGAAAGAGACCTAGTCTCTTTCCTTCAAGGAAGGATGGAGGGATATCATGAAAAAACTGTAAAGGCCTGATGGTGTCACCACATCCCAAAAGGGATTAGGACGGAGGAGGAGGAAGGTCCGTATAGAAATGACGTCTCAAGGTCAGCAACCTAGTTGGGATTTTTACGTTGCCATGAAGTAAATCTGTTTAAAACTTTAATATATGTATAGAAGAATAAAAAACAGAATATATGCAAAGAATTCAAATGCATAAGATCAATACTACTGAACAAAGTGAGAAATGAACGAATTAGAGGACTAATAAGCGCGACTGATGAAATAAAAAAAAAAGAAAATTACTCTCGTATGCGAAGGATGGACGAGACTAGAATACCGCTGTGAACTTGGAAATGAAAACCAAATAGAAGGAAAAAGAGGACGTTTCAGATTACAGTGGAATGAACAAATAAAAACAGCTATCTTAGATAAGAAAAATGAGATAATGGACCCGTCTAGGCCTCAAAGAACTTATACGAGCAATAGAGATCAGGGAAAGATGAAGAAGTTCGTAGGGTAAGTATTTTATCAAACACGAATAGGCATCTTATTGTTGCTTGCGACACTTTTTTCATGAGCAAAATGAAACTAAATACAGCGTCTGGGGTTTCCAGTATCAAATTGTGTTGGGTCCATAGTTTCATGAAGTTTTAATGAATTGTTGTGATTATTTTTGTTCAATGTTTATCTCTTTCACTGTTAATAGACTACTACTATATATGATTTTCAGTGTACCATATAATGTTTTAGATTCTAAACATTTGACCATTTCGACCAAGAATATCATTTTTATTGTTTTATTATACTACACTATATATTTCTTTGTATTTGTTCACGAGGAAAATAAAATTCTTGTAGTTGGCTGTATACGACGAATCATAAAAAATTGTATTTAAAAAATCCTTTATAAAATGTGTAGGTCTCGAGTGACTAACCCCTAAGATGCATTACCATGAAGTAAATCTGTTTAAAACAATAACAATATTTAAATTTATCGACAAATATGTAATACATAACACAGATAACATTTAAAATGTCTTTATTCACGTATTTAGTGGCTTCATTCATGTATACCTGGTAACTGCACTGATGATTGACTTGTTAGTCCGAAAATGTTTTGTGATGTAACTCGAAAGGTTATTTTTAGAACATAATTATATACTTTAAAAAATTTTTTAATTAAAATTTTCATATTTTTCGTTAAACCTGATCTCATATTGTCGCCTGACATTCATCATTTCTAATATTTTGTTTGTCGTTCACAGTTTATTTCCTTTATATTTGTGCTTTTGAGAATGTCTTGTATTTTAGAATAACTGAGATTTCTCTTAATAATAAAATAAAACGATGCGCTAAAAGATAAAAACGAGCAAATAATGAAATTAACTGGACTAGGTACGATAAAAACGCCTAATTGGCAGACAAACGGGTATAATACCAAAAAAGCCATAGTTTTACTTACCATAGTTGCAAGCAGTTGCGTTGTAAACACCTTTTAGAGGACATTGAGCGCTATCCATACTGCAGAAACAGCCGTTTTCGGGTTTCTCATCAGCGGAATCGAACAAGTCTTCTGGGTGTATGTATTGATAAGCTGGGACTTTCCCGTCTATCACGCTGGTTTCTTTATTAAAGATTAGAGGAAATCGTCGACATCCTTCAGGGAAAAGATAATGAAGAGGTTTTTTTTTCTGGACTTTTCTGGGTGGGTGTATTGAGCCGTCTGTTGATTTGATACTAAAAAGAAAATAAGAGATTCCTATAGTACTGGTTTCAATGTAGGTATGTGTTTTTTTCGAATTTAAACGTTTTCTTTATTCATTGTAGTGATATGTTATTTTTGCAGGCGTCGAAGTTTTTTGAATACACACATAAAACATTATTGATAAATAACGGAATAACACAACTATGTAAATTAGTTATGGTATTGGAAAACGTAGGTTTTTTGTACTGGTATAGTAAGTTATTTTCTACTGTTTGATAAGTCTTAACATTCTTAATACATTTTTGTATTCAGTAAAATGTTATTTTAGCACATAATTATTCCAAAAAAGGCAACTATGAATGAAGGCATGATGGGAAAAAGATGAGAAAGATCCAGCTATGGATAACTAAACATATCTTTTAATAAGTGATATAAATATGGGAAAATAAATATAGTGAAATATCATATAAAACACTGAGAAATACAAAAACGAATTAAAAAGAAATAAAAGAGTCGAAAGAGAAGTGACCAACAGAGCATTGTAGATAAAACGAACAATATCAAATAAACCTTAACGGCTTTAAACAACAAAATAAAATCGCGTCTCTTAACAAAGACAATGACGTCGACTTTGCTAAGTATCAAGACAATTACTCTACACACACACACACACACACACACACACACACACACACACACACACACACACACACACACACACTACACACCTGACTGTAAAATTTCACTGTACCATGCCAATGACCATTACTTGTCGACGCATTAATCTCAATAAAAAAAAAAAAAAACAAAATAAAATGAAAATACTTAATACCAGAAGAAAAACTAACGACCGACACAAGGTAAAGTTAAGTACTCTAATAAAAAAGTATAACAGTTATAGACGGTAAGCAAGAGTTATATTTAATTTATTGAGAAAATCAAAAACGACAGTAAGACGAAAGAACTAAGATATGTTTTTAAAAAGTTAAAAAAAAGTAGAAAAACAATAAGTACCGACCAAATTCCAGTCGAAAGAATAAACCTAGTAAACCCTCTAAAATCTTCTTTTAGAAACTTCTAAAAAGTAACAATTAGAAAACTAAAATAAAATAAATGGAAGAAAAATAGAAGATGACCTATTGACATACCTAGGATCTGGAGGTTGGAAAAAAGGAGGTTGCAGATCAAATATACTAAAAATAATAACAAAAACAAGGCATAGACAAAATATCTTATAAAATATGGAACACATGCGGTAGATATATCAGAATCAACAAAAATCAAAATTATCAGCAGTGGCGTGAAGAGTAAAAAGAGGTTCCTGTATGGCGCTGAGACTTGAAAACATTAAGAGAAAGAAATATATTTGGTAAACACCAAGGAAAATTGGCAGATAGCCACTCGAGTCCAACCTGACAGAAAAAGTAATGAAAAACTGGATAATAGTTGGCGAAGAACAATAACAAAGTAACCTGAAAGAATTGGATTGGGTGAAATCACGTAAACAATCGGAAATAGAAGGAACTTGCAGACGAAATTTCAATGGAATAGACACAAAGAGGATGCGCCGGTAAAGTTAATTAGTCGCTTTCGACTAGTAGCTAAGAAACTTGAAAATCTACTCAACACTTCATTAGATTGGACAGCACTAGAGATATAGTAATTACAAAAAAATATATACATCCTAACTTATCTCTCAAACGAGTGCATCTAAGGAAATGAAAAACTATAAATATTTAGAGACTTGTATAAGAGAAATCAGAACATAGATAAAAATAATTGGTAAAAGAGTATATAAAATAAGAAATTTTATTGGTAACATTGCTTAATAAACATCAACAAACTTAGATACGAATAATTACTCTTAACTACCAATTGACTATTTAAAGCCAAATTGTATTAGTAATTGTATTTCTAATTTACCTGTTACACTCTCCTCCAGCATAATAGTCTAACTCGGTTTCTCCATTAAATTTTTCTACAATCCCTAAACGATCAATATCATCCTTTCCATTATTTATAGTTATCCTGTATGGAGTTTGGCCTATTTTCTAAAATAACAAAACCACAAGATAAGCTTTCTGGATATGTTAACCAAGACTAAACCATATTTTTAAAACAACAAATGAGTAATAATATTTTGTTAATTATTGATTGCCTGATATACATACATATATATATATATATATATATATATATATATATATATATATATATATATATATATAATATAAAATTATTGTTTCTTGGGTTTAGGTTCAATAAAGATATGTTACATGTGGAGAACTAGATTTTACTTTCCATTGCAAACAATCAACGTTTTGGCAGGAAACCCTTGCCTTTGTCAAGATTCTAAAATGTGTATATATATAAGGACAAACAGATATTGTAAAATATGTACACACACACACACACACACATATATATATATATATATATATATATATATATATATATATATATATATATACTCGACGTTTCGGCTCCCGTTTTGGAGCCATTATCAAGAGGGATACGGTTCGGTTCGAGTTTGGGGTCTCAATCTGCCTACTCCCTTCACTCGACACGTACCAGTATCGTGTTCTGTATTATAAATACAAGAACTGTCTCTCGGCACTGAGGTCTCAATCTGTTTACTCCTCAGTGTCGAATGACACTCGACAGTGTCGAGTGACACTCGACAGTGTCGAGTGTCACTCGACTGGCTCAGTGCTCTTGCAGTTCTGCTTCACTGACACTGCTGACACTGCTTCATGTAGTTGTTTTATTAGTAAGTTGGTGTTTCTTTCTACTGATGAAGTCAGATCTTTTGGGATTTTTTTATAGGAATGTGGGTCATTGAGAAGTTCAAATGATTTGGTGATGTAATCGTTTCTGTCCATTATGACTGTAGTGTTACCTTTGTCTGCAAAAATTTTCGAGTTTTTGTTTCAATGGCCATGGATGGACTGATGTAATAACGGTTGGTTTTGATGTGGTTGGTAATGATATTCGTGATTTTTGAACGTTGCAAATTCTGTGAATCTGTAGGGAGTTTCTTAATACAGTACTCAATGTCTGATAGGTATGTGTACATGTCAATATCTTTTACTGAGATTGGTAGTGAAAATTTTGGACCTAGTGATAGAAAAGATTTTATGTCTTGAGGCAAAGTCACTTTGGATTGATTTACCAACCATGCATTTTCATTTGTAGTTGTGAGTGAAGCTAAAGGATCTTTAAGTTGGTTAAGTTTAGAGATGTTGCTTCTTTTTATACAGTTGAATATTCTTTTATATCTTTTGTCCTGTAGTCTCAGGAAATCAGACATCATGTTGTAAGAGAGTTTGCTATTAAGATACTCTATTGATTTATCTATGTTTATCTGTAAATTTCTGATTTTTGTGTTAGTTTCATTAATAGTGATGTTTAGAATCCTCTTTGTTACAAGATTTCTTAAGTATGATATTTTTCTTGTATTTTTATTTTCTGTATTTTCAGGTATTGAGAGGATCCTTTCTGTACCCTGTTGTAAAAATCTAGGAATTATGTTGTTTCTCCTCCATTCGTACAGGAAGATGAGCCTGTTCTTTGCTGAAGCCATTTTTGTTAGTGATGACATGTAAGTTTTCGCATGTTTAACTCCAGTGTTACCGTCAATGTTCTTTATCTGTTGTAGGAATCCCATTTTTGTAGTCAATTATTGTAAATAGAGTGTGTATAACGACGCTAAAAATACAATTCTTTGGAGGGTAACTTTGGGGAAAGCGTCAAAACAAGGATCAGCTAGAGATGGTATAAGCCAGTTTGGTGTAGAACTTTATTCTAAATGTGAAATTTTCGGTGATATGTTGTCACCTTCATCAGCACCTAAGTGGAAAACCTATTTAAGTACAAGTGGTTGAAATCAACATTTAAAAACCTACATTGAAAATGTTCAGTTGGTCCTAGTGGTGAAGAACACTGTCACAAACATGTCAAAAATATTAAAAAATACATTTAAAACTTTGAATAAAAACATTACAACACAATAGGGTACTTTTTCAAATACAAACACAACAAAAAAATTTAAAATTTAAACCTACAAAAACTGCAACTTCATGTTAAAGGTAGAAAAGAAGAATTAATATTCTTTTTATAAATAGTAAACAAACTAACAATGTGGACTTATTCTTGTCGAGTTTTATATTTCTGCTTCATGAACATTTTCTGTAATTAAATATTTGTCTTCTATTTAGGTCCCTACCTTTATTTAGACAATTTACTAAAATTTACTTACGGGAGCCAATACACCCATTTGTGCCGGCATATTATCGGGCATAAAAGCTTTAGCCAAATCGTATAAACGATCTTTATATCCAGTTATAAAGGAATCTGCAGCTATTTTCAAAAATGGTTCTTCGTCCATTCCTGATAGTAAACCAGAAAACGCCAAACGATTAAAGTAGTTGTGGGACTTGGTAAAGGCAGCTCCACTCTAAAAGAAAAAATAGAAAATTTACTACATAAATACATAAAAACATAGTATACAGTTGTAATATATCAATCATAAATACTTACAAAGACTGCCATATTCGGTACAACAAGCTGATCGTTCTGACGCCCTCTTGTTAGTTCAGGCTTAAACACGTAACTTTTCTTTTCTTTATATGAGATAGAGTTATCAGTGGGAAATTCCAAATCAATTCTTTCGAGATGTTCTCTAAAAATTTAAAAATATTTCTGTTATCAGTTTTAACAGATACTGAATAAATATATTTAGAAAGGAAAGATTATGAAGACTACTAAAATGCTAACAAAGTTTTTTTAATAAAATATAAACACCTAAAAAGGAGAAAATATATTATCAACTAAAAATTAAAAAAAAATGGATTAGGAAAATTAACAGAAAGTAGGAATAGTGGTACTAATTGGACCAGTAAAGCATCAAGACTTAAGCCATCCCCGAAAGGGATGATATCTATGAACAAAGTAACCATATTGTAATAAAATATAAAATATATAATCGAGATAAATATTAAAACCTAAACGTTTACTTACTCATATGCATAAGGTCCAACTTCTTCCACATGCAGCTTTTCTGCATACCCATCTCTAAAATCTTCTACATTGGTATAGTTAAATATGTACACGTTATATATCACATGTACCGATGGTTTTTGCCACATAATGAACGTATCTGTATTATTTGACAGAGCCATTTGCTAAATGATAAAAGATAGTAACAGTTAATATAAACCAAATAAAATCTCTTATTAATTTGTCATTAGGTTTGTACTTACCGATATTAAAAAATTGTCAAACGATTCGGTAAACCACATCATGATTGCTCCAAGAAAACTCATTGAGAATAAAAGGGACAGACCAGCAGTAACTGAAAAAAAAAACAATAACGTTTAAAAAATCAACAGATCAACAAATCAAAGATATGTACTCAAAAATTTGCAGACATGCAGATATGCAGAATGGTTAAGTTTATGGCTGTATTTAATGTTTTAGCTACTGTTAAACATATATTTGTAATAATTGGAAACATAAAAGAAATAAAATTATAGTTTTACTATAATATATAAAATATATATGTAAAAATGAGAACATTTCTGGGTTGTTGACGTCGAATGTAAAAGACTATAAGAAAATAAAAGAATTCAGTGTTCACTACTCACTCAGTGAAGTGAGTAGTAAGTGTAGTAGTGTCTGGGGGCTCGGGAGACTGAAACCTCCTCGGAAGCCCTGAAAAAGACATCAGAGAGGATGTAGAAAGCTCGGCCCAATGGATATCGACGCGGCTCAACCCGGAAGACTGGTGAGTTTAAGATTAGTTTTTATAATAGTAATAATCTTAGGTCTAGATTTAATATATATATATATATATATAAATATATATATATATATATATATATATATATATATATATATATATATAATATAATATATATAATATATAATATAATATATATATATAATATATATATATATATATATATATATATATATATATATATAATATATATATAATATATATATATATATATATATATATATATATATATAATATATATATATATATATATATATATATATATATATATATGTGAGAAATACTGGATATTAGTGACTGTCGGTATAAACAAACAAGATAGTTTATTAGGGTTGCGTCAGAATATTGGCCGGGATGTTAAAAAAAAACACTCTTTTGACTTTTTGTCGAGTTTTCAGAATGGTTTTATTCCTTTTTCAAGACACTGTAAAAGACAATTATGTAAATATTTAAAAATATCACAATTCTTCAGTGTAACTTACTAGTCGTTGAGATTATTTTTGTAAGCATTGACACTCAACATTTATACCACACATTAAAATATACAATTATGGACATAATACCTCATAAAATTTTTAAAATTTGTTGTAAAAATAGTAAAACTTGATAGATGGCATGTTTTGCTGGTGTATATTAACTCATACAGAGAATGGAAAGAAAAAACAGTGTAATTAATATGTATTTAGGTGTAATTGATGTTATCTTTCTTTACAAGAAATACTAGAGGCCCTTTTTAGGTGACTATTCTTTTTAAACCTGTCTTAATGGTATGCAACATATTATACAGAGGTGTAATTTTTGTACAGGTAAATATTTATTTTATTTTTGGTGTTTTTCTAGTAAATAACAATAAATGTTACTTAATTTGTCTATGTCGGACTTTTTGTTGATGCAAGATGTGCTAGATTTTATGAAACACATTTCCAAAAAACACGTTTTGAATGGTTCTTTTCTTTTGCCAAAATACAGAAATCATCGAAATTGAATTCATGTTTTAGAGTTAGTGTATGTTCTGTCAATGCACATGCATTGATTTTTTTGGTTTTTATATCACTGCGATGTGATATCACCTTGCTGTGAAAGTTACGAGATGATTCTTCTATGTAAATTTTATTACAGTTACTACACGGTATAGAATAAACAACATTCGATGACTCCTGTATTGTGAAAGGATCTTTTGTTTTTGTGTAAAGCTTCGATACTGTTTTCACATTTTTGGTTGTAATTTTTAAACCACTAACATTTTTAAAGACGTTCATTAGCTTAGGTGTCAAAAATGGAATGTAGGGTAGGCAACCATAAGTTATTTTATATGGTAATATTGATGCGTTATGTGTCAATGTCAATTGTCGGATCTCATTGTTATGAAAATTTTGGATGACAGAAACTTGTGAAGGAAAAGGAGAACCGAAAAAAGAGTTTATTTAACAACCCTATGGGATAAGAATTCTCTTGTAGTATGAATCTCAACTTTTTTAATCCCTTGTCTCTGAATTCTATGTGTGACAAATTGATAACCCTAGTTTGTAAAGCCAAAACCAAATTTGTTTTCATCTTAGATGGATGTTGAGAATAAAAGTTTATGAAACGGTTACTGTAACAAGGTTTACGATACCACTCCGTCCTTAGCATGCCATCATTGCCACGATGGATTAGCATGTCTAAAAAAGGAATCATATTATCAGCCTCTCTCTCAACCATAAACTTTAGGTGTTCACATTGGGCATTAAAAGTGTTTAAAACATCAGTTACCTTGTTTTCAGGGACCGATAGAATCAAATCATCTACATAACGTTTAATAAATGGTATGTGAAAAGGTATGTTTTCTTTAAACGTTGTTATAAGTTCATCCAAAACAAAATTACATAGTATGGGGGATATTTTACTGCCCATTGGAGTGCCAAAAATTTGTTTAAAAAAATTACCATTGAATAAAAAGATGTTTGAATCAAAAATAAATGTTAACATTTTTATGAAATCATCTAAACTGATCTTAGTATGTGGAGAGATGTTGTTCCAGTTATTTTTGATGCTGTTAAGAATAGCATTTAGTGGTAAGTTTGTAAACAGTGACACAACATCTAAACTAATCAATATATAACTATTTGGAATTTTAACATTGTTAATGAACTTACTAAATGAAAAAGAATCTCTAATATAGAATTCATTGGATTCGTTGTACGAAATTGTGAGAATATCTGTAAGGTGTTTAGCAAGTTTACTATTAGGAGCATCAATGGAAGATACAATAGGCCTCATTGAAATAGTGGGTTTATGAACTTAAGGCAGGTTTATATATATATATATATATATATATATATATATATATATATATATATATATGTATATATATATATGTATATATATATATATATATATATATATGTATATATATATATATATGTATATATATATATATATATATATACATATATATATATATATATATATATATATATATATATATATATATATATATATATATAGTATGAGTTAATATACACCAGTAAAACATGCCATCAATCAAGTTTTACTATTTTTAACAACAAATTTTTAAAAATTTTATGATGTATTGTCCATAATTGTATATTTTAATGTGTGGTATTAATGTTGAGTGTTCAATGCTTACAAAAATAATCTCAACGACTATGTCTTGAAAAAGGAATAAAAATATTTCGAAAGCTCGACAAAAAGTCAAAAGAGTGTTTTTTTTTAACATCCCGGCCAATAATTCTGACTGCAACCCTAATAAACTGTGTTGTTTGTATATATATATATGTATATATATATATATATATAGGTATTCGCTTTCATTCGTTATAATATAATCATGTCTAATAAAACGGTACGCAAGAAATAAACATTTTATTAATTTTAGAAATTAATGACGACTATTAACACCAAAATGACCGAATTAATTATATAACGTTAAAATAATTAAACGCATATATTTTCAAGAAAACTTTAATTGATTAACTTATGTATTAACAACACGCATCTATCATTACACAATTGTTACTAATTTTCTATTAGACTAAATCTAAATAAAGATAAACATACTTTAGTGGTACGTGTTCACCCAGATTTTGTTGTTGTTGATAATCTCGAAAAATTGTTGACAAATTGACAAATATACACTTTCATGATAACCTCCGTGTCTAGACAGAGATTTATAACCCAGACATAACAGACCCTTGGATCTTAAGGATTGGACTAATCGTGGTTCATTGAATACTGATTTATCATATAGTATTCGCGAAAATAATCGTTATCGAAAATAAACCATGTATATAATATCTATTTTTTTACAACTGACCTGTTAAAAATGCACACCATTGAAATGCAAACAAACTTTATTACGACCTCACGTATTATTGAAAAAAATTGTTGGTAAGATTGGCGACCGGTTTCGGGACTTACAATAATTATTCCGTTAGACCCAGTAGTAGAAACTTTACAGACCAAACGAATACGTATATCATTCTTCTTACAGCCTTTTTCACTGCTCCATTTCTATCTAATTTTTGTAATAGAAAGTGTATCTCAACAAAATTAATACTTAGACTGTTCGAAATTGTTTAGAAGAAATTGCATAGAAGAAATTCTTCTAAGGACTAACCAAAAAATGAGGAAAAACGTAGCATGGAATTGAGACGAAAACAATCGAAAGGTAAAAGATACAAACATTACAAATGCAAAAAAAAATTGGGGAACTTTGTGCTTAAGTTGGTCTGCTCTATTTGGCCGAACTTTTTATTCACGAAAAGTTAAAGAACCGATGCTTTTAGATATCTTTTAAAAGTGTAAAAATTCTATAATCCTGACGCCATCAGATATTAATAAATTCTTTGCATATATTATCATGTTTTTGTATATAAAAAATAAAAATGTGTCCAGAATAATTAATAATATTATAGTAAATAGCATATACATTTGACCATTTGGTTACATAGTCTCGATCATACTTAAATTGTAGATATTTTCTATTACACTGGCGGAAGGTAGGAAATATCCTATAGAGAATTTAATAATATAAATTATAGAAATTTTAAGTTCATAGAACTATTTAGTCTTTATTTCACTAGTACTCTATTGGTGTAATTATTTTTATTTTTTCATATTGATTTCAATGTATACTGTACGTTTAAAACTACTAGCTGTGATAACCCAGCTGACTGTAGTTCAAAAAGCTTTGTTGTAAGTGAGTAATTTACTCCTAACATTGATTTATTTTACATACATATTAGTATTTATTTGACAAAACGACACATTTTTTTATTTTTTATTCTGGACAACTATTGACAATTGCATGCATATAATTTTAATTAAGTAAAAGAATATAATGAATACAATTATCAAGACCAGTAATGAGTTTCAAAATGTTGTAGATTTCGATGCAGAAAGCATACAGAAAAAGTATTCCGAGAGAAAGAAATGGAACACGCCGGCACCTCGGCTACGTAATAAAAGTGCGGAAGTTTACAAGTCGAGTTTGCTTCTCCTACTAGTATATTTCCGGAAATTTTGCTGCGCATCGTGTGAGCGTACCGATT